TTCAGGGATGGGGAGGGCAAAACAAACAGAAATCCACTATAAAAATTGTTATTAAAACTAAATAGTAAAATCTTACATATATGGTAGTTTTTCAATGAGCAAAGTCAGATGCAGCCTTGAAGATGATGGGAAGGGGGCTAGGTGGTAATCAAGGAGCTGTACTGCCCTGATGTGACATAGACTGCTTGTTTTACTGGGAGTCTAATGTGGTGGGGAGGGAAGCACCTTGTCTCTAAACCTCATCTCCCATCCAAATCTGCGTCATCATGTCAGGTTGAGAAGGCGATGCTTAGGAAAACAAAGAGCTGTTGCAAATGCACATATCTGTTCCAGATGTCAGGAGCATTTCCTTCAAATATTTTCTTCTGTGTTAGAGAGAATCTGCCTAAAAAGCTAACCTAGCTAACTCATTGCCTGAACCATCCTCAGCAGGAGGGGGAGATGGAATGAATGATTTGCAGTTATTACCTACTAGCCTCAAGACTTGATGGAAAGATATGATGGGTACTTGCCCAGCAGGGTTCAGTGCCTGAGAATCTCTGATTTTCTTCCCTCTATCACTGCCCCAAAACAGTCCTCCACAATTCCTTGCCCTTAATGTCCTAAATATCAATCAGCCTGTTACTCCTCATTTGGAGCATTTGGGTTCTCTTCATGGGGCGTTACTCCTTATTGTTCCCTATATAGCATGAGAAGTTACGTCCCTGAAAATCCTTCCTTTCTGACATTCCCTGGTTCAGATTAAAAAAAAAACAGCCAATACCCAGGCTTTCCCTTTTTTCCCTGTCCTCTCAGCCCCTTGCACCTAAGCTGGCTTTATCTGTGAGGCTCCAAAACCTGTAAGTGATGCTGTTTGCCTCTCTGTCACAGGAACTTTTAAATCTGAGTGTAAAATAAGACTCCTACAGCAGTAAACAGAGTGATCAAACCACCTCCTTTGAAGTTACCATTTAAATAACCTCCAGGGCTTCACTAATGCAGGAAGCGAGCAAGAGGAAATAATTCCCCCCTCCTCCCCTCCCTCCCTCGTGCTCCCATCTCTGAAGCAGGGAAATGGAAATGAATTCTTTGGCAGAGGAGGAACACTGGTGTTCAGGCTATTGCAGAAGAGATGAACAGTTCTAACTTGTAGCTTGGCTAATGAGTCAGCACATTCATTCATGGATGCAATTTATTAACCCGTAAACACTGCAGATGATGGCGTTATCACTGTGATAAATTAGTTTTAATTTACTTTATAATTTATAAGGTAGTTGCTACAGCAGAGGAAAGCCTGTGTTTGTTCATGTGTCCTGGCTTGGTCCTAGGGAAGGAAGAGAAGATCTAGGAAATGAAAGGGAGGGGTCCAGCAGGACTGTAGGAACAGAGCTGATTGCAGCACTTTCTACTGATCCCCTAACCCCACCAGTTCTGGCTGGTGCTGCTAATTCATGAAAGAGTGGGTGTGTGTTCCCAGGCCTCTAGTTCTGTGTCTGAACTGATGCATGGAATTTCCTGAAATCAGACAAACACATAGCAAGAATGTAAATGAGCACACATGACAGCACTGGAGGGTGTTCAGTGATGTGCTGCACAGGAGATCCTGAGTAGGATGCTGCTGCTGGAATGTGGATGGCAGCAGGCTTGTGCAGTGCTGGAGGGGTCGGGACCAGGAGGTGTTGAGGATCCTGGAGAAGTAGGATATTGTGGATATTAGTGTTTGTCAGGTAGTTTAAGTAGTCAGTGCTTAAATGAGTTCAGTTCTTTAAGTGATTTATTAGATAGTAAGGTTTGTTCAAACAATTAACAGTGTAGTCTCAGAAGTCTGAGTCTTACCAAGCTGCCCGAGGTCAGCTTCTGGGATCAAAGGACACGGTGCTCACAATTCCTGCATTTTCAGTCTGTGAGGGGCTTATCTTTTATAAGGAAAACTATGTGCATGCCTGAACGTGTTACTACTTCAGCCTGACTGAAATGTGGGGAGTTTTCAAAGCAATTATGCCTGTGCTAATCATAATTTGCTCCGTCGTCTAGGAGTACCTGTCCTTATGTCTGTGTTGATGTTAAATTGCTGAACAATTTGATTAGGTCATTTAATAAGCTGTGTAATTGTGCTACAGATATTCCTGATGCATACGTTATTTTAATTATCTGAGTTATCAGCACCCATTGTTACTATTGTAGTGCAGTAACACTTAGAGGCTGCTATTAGAATTGAAGCTCCATTGTGCTAGGTATTGCACAGATGTTCAGTAAGCTGCAATCTCTGCTCTGGAGGGACTACACCTCTACTGGTATACAACACCCCATTATGGCACCCTCTAGGCTTCAGTTAGTTATTTTTCCTAATGTTGCTATGGGGCTGAGAAGCTGTGATGGCAAAGGAGCAGATGACTCAGTGTGCCCAGAAGGGAAGCTGTGGTGGTGCTACTGGTACAGAGCACCTGGCTGCTGCTGTCGTCTTATCACAGGGCTCTGTTTCCTTCCTCTGTAGTGCTCAGTCAGCTTCCATCTGCCTGTAGGGTGAGAGCAGGTCCCGTAGCACCGGAAAGTGGGAGCAGTTGCCCTACAGTCACCCTCTGTTCTGAAGGTACCCTAATCTCTAATTGATCTACCAGGCCTCACCAACTGTATTTTATATCTTGGGTATTTGGCTTGGGTTTGTGGGGTTTTTTGGTCAGCTTGTTTTTTGAGACAAGTTATCCTTCCAGCTAAGGAGATGTCTTTATACCAGCCAGCAGCGGGAGGCATCGGTTCCCAGCTGCACCAACCTTGTTGGTCTCAGCATCTGATAAGTCCCCTGCTGCCTGTCTTCCAGTTTACTCTCCTCTCAGCATTGCCCTTTCCTCTACTATAAGTTCTGCCTGATCCCTTTCAGAGGTTCTCTTGTCTTGTCTGCCTTTGCCTTCCTGTTTTAGTGATATTTGCATTTGGATTCTTCTAAGATCACTGTTCAAATAAGGCCTTATAGCTTGAGGTGTGAGGTGTGGGGAAAGAGCAGAAGATTGGGTCCCCTCCTTGATCCTTGGTTTTATGAAGTGCTCATGGCACAAAACTATATTGTGAAAGGGTTCTCTGTAACTACAAGAACTTTCCCACTGATAATTCCCAAAAAGAGAAAAAATGGGCTGCCCAAAATAGTTCTATGGTTTCCACAGTGGAAAGGGCCTTGCAGAGCCTTTAGTCTGTGGAGACAGCGGTGTTCCTGCATCCGCATTTGTCTGTCTGTGGTCTTTGAGTGTTAGCGGTGCTGAGTTTTGTTAGCAGCATTTAGGAACCTGTACTTTCAAGTGTACTTCAAATGCCACATCTGCTTTTTCCATGAGCCCTCCTGAGGGTGGAACATTACAGCCAGACCATCCTCTTTCATATCCACAGCATCAGTTTCTGTTTTATCAAATGTATTTTATTGCAAGCTGAATTCTTTCCCAGCTTTTTGTACTTTGCCAGATTCCCTTGACCTTGTGTCAGTCAGTGATGAATTGTACGAGTCCCTGCTGAAAACACTGCAGGAGCCGGAGGAATGCCAGCCTTGCAGCGTAGTACAGTGAGACAAAATATTTTAAGCCCAAGACCGATGGGGATGACTTCTCTATTTCAGTCTGCTCCTTCAGATTAAAAAGCTATTAAAAACTTCTCTTTGTCTCGACGCATCTGCTGCTTCATGACCAATGAATGGCGTGACTAGGACTGGAGGCTGCGGGTAGGAGGTGATATTTGCGATAAATGTATCTGGCGGTGTTTTATTTTCAGGAAAAGTAATTAAAAACATGCTACAGCAAATGATTGGTTTGTTACAGAGACTACAGAAATAGCATCTAATGCTTCTGGCTGAGAGCCAAGCAGTGTCTGAACAGACACAGTCCACAGACCTCTAACATGCACAGTTACTCTCTCCTGATGCCTCTTAGCTGTCCTTCCCTCCTCTGTGCTGTGACTGTTAGCTTGTCTGTAACTGTGAAATATCTCTCTGTAATATGTATTAGATCTCTAATTAATTCTGTGACTCTTTCATACAGTTTTGTAGCTGTATGATTAAATCTGCAGAGCGCTTCTATGTAAAACTATAAAGTAACCAGTCAGTGCTATTTTTCACATGCCCTGCATTCAGTTCTCAGTGTCAAAGGCTCACTGAGCCAGATTCTGTGCTGATGGGAATCAATGGTGTTAGAGTTGGTTGATTTGATTTGAAATTAATGGTATGAGAATATGAGGATTTACGGAGTAAACTGGGAGGCTGGAAACTTGCTCCAAGACAAAGCTGGTAGGACGAGTCTGTAAAATCTTTGAAATGATAAAAAGGCATAAATATCAGGCTGCTTCCTGCCGGGCTGCTGTCATCTGCCATGGCACCAGTGCTAGAAGGAGGAGAGGTGCAATGGCTGCAAATAGCAGATACTATTTCTAGAAACAGTTGGTGGGATTTGGATCTGGCTTAGCAAGCATTACATTTTGGGACTGAGGCCAGCTGCTATTCCCAGCGTTTGGGGTTGACCCATGGCTTGGATTAGGGGCTCGAATTTGATTTAGTTTAAGTCAGAGGCTGAACTTAGTTGGCATCTACTGGTTGGGTTTCTAGGAAATCCAGCCCCAGTAAGTTTGCTGAAGCTTTGTTGACTGAACTAAAGTTCAGTTTTCAAATACTGGTGAGAAATCCAATGCACTTGAGCTGTGTACCGACAACAAAAAGAGAACCCAAACTGATGCCATTTAGGCCTGACCTCAGCACCCTTATTTCTACTGCATTTTGGAATGAGGGAGGAGGTACAGAGTCAAGAAAAAGATGTCTGCAAATAGGAATTCAATTGGTTTAATGTACAGACTATTTTGTTGCAGCCTAACTGGAGCCTCTTATTAAGAATCTGATGGCATTTCTAAACAGGGAGAGCTGCTCCCTCGGTGGGGGCAATCTCCAATCATACTCCAACATTGCTTTTGACATATTTATGACTCCAATAAAATCTCCCATCTGGTATATTTTAAAATAAAATTGAAAATTTATCACTTTAGCTGGTTTGTCGTTCTCCCCGAGAGAAGATAGCCAGGCTGAGATTATTGCATCGGCAGCCTGTCAGCTGAGGTTAGGCTGAGGTGTGATTTAAATTTCAATACTTTCCACCTTACAGCTGTCTGGGGTGGGGAAATTACAAGAAGAAAAGCAGAGAGTCTGTTATTTCTGTTCATTAGTCTCTCCCGATTTGCTTTGTTTTTCTTTTGCTTAGCTGGGGAACCTGGGGGAGGAAGGTGCTCCCCATTTTTCTGAATTTCCACAGCCCCGGCTTGCTCAGAGAGACTGTGCAGGGCATGAGGCAGAACCTCTACTATTGGGCTGGGCTGCGGGAGCAGGAAGAGATCCTTTTCTGTATGAGGTACAAGGCAAGTGACGGCATTTGTATAGCTGCTACAGCCAGCCTGAAAGAGGCTGTGACCTTTGGGAGAGCAGAGCTGAGGGAGCAGCACCAAATGTGATTTCTCCAGCTTCCTCTGGCGTTGCCCACTGGTGCATTTGGCCAGGTGCATTTGTTTGTGACATCAGCTGCGTGTAAATTACCACAGATCTTGACTCCCTTGATCCCCTCCAATTGCTTCCTTGCTCGGGCTGTGACTCGAGCCACTGTGAACTTGGGGCTGATATCTTCCACTGCAGTCACAAAGGCAGGAGGGGAGGGTGCTGATGCAGATGCCCAAGCAAGGGCTGCAGTCATTTGCCCCTGCTGCAAGCCCTATAGGGAAAACAGAACCCAGTGCATTAGGCCTATTAAATGAAACCTTCATTTGAGGCATATGAATTTCCTTTGGAGTGTGCATGAACCTTTTATGCACAAATCTGTGGATTTGTGTAGCACGTTTTCCATGAGCGCTTTTCCAGTGTTCATTTCGGGCTCGTTACGTGCAGTGAGCTCACTGTTCTTCTGCAGCTCATTTGTGTGAATGAACATATGCTTACAGGGTCTGGTCACGTGCACTGAGCACAGCGTTAGTGTGTGTATGGCATTGTGCTTCTGCCAGCAGCCCTATTGCACATGCACAGTGCATGGGTGTCATTTCATTTGATTGCTCTATTTTCCTGTTCTCCAGATTGAACCATTGGGGTCATTTTATGACTGCATCAGGTGTTTTATTTCCTCGCACAGCAAACGTAAATTTGCTAATGTCAGATTTATTCTGAATCAATACACTGGTGCAATTCTCAATAGGGGAAAACGTCAGCCTTTGTTGCACTTCATGGATGGGCATTTTTGCATAGCTAGCATGTGTGTCCTCGCACAGCACACGTGCTTTTGTTGCCCATAGAAACAAGGTACATTGCACTGAAAATAACCTGTGCTGTAATGTTTGCTCATGATGGTGTGGTTACAGCTTGTGCACTCGGGGGCCATAGTAAAAGTGTCCTTTATCTCTAAAACTCAGTATGCTGAGTGCTATACTTGTGCAGTGTAAGCACATATTTTCTTGCACTTGCTGGCAGAGTTGTGGAAGTGTTGAGTCTTCATCTTGTTAAAATAACAGAACGGTTGTCCATATATTTTCTAATTTCCTAAAACATCCTCTGGCTTTCATGGTTTAAATTTTTGTCTGTCCAAATGATCCATGTCAAAGCATCAGGAAGGAAATTTAGGCAGTTATGGAAGTGGAATGGAGCAAAGTTGTGAATTAATGCTTTTCTGATGCTATATAAAAGGGAAAATGGTGAAAAAGAGCCACAAATAAAATACAAAATGAACAAGATCAGCCAAGGTAATGTCGAGGTTTGTACTTAAATCGGAAACGTTTACAGCGAAAGAATTCAGATGACAGCATTCCTGTCTTATTCCATCCTGTGCTCATGCCATCCTGCCCCACATCTCACAGCCCCTGGGGTCAGCCCCTGGGAAGCAGGAAGGATGACGCAGCACTTCCAGCCTTGTTCCTTCCTTTGGCTGGCCTGCCTTGTACTTAGCTGCTTTGAAAATGAGTTAGGCCTTCATTATCCCTTCATTTCTTTTCAATGGCATTTTAAAAGACCTGACACAGAGTAGGCATGATTGAAGCACCTGCTGCTTTTCTCTGTAATTACCCAGTTTCCTTGTTGGGACTGAAATTATTGCCCTGCAAGTGTGCAACGTCCCTATTAGCACGTATGAGCTAGCCAAACACCAACCTGCCTGGCTGCAGCTGGCACCTCTCCATGTATTGAGACACAAAAACCATTTTCCTTGCCTGCTGGGCTGAGCTGTGGTATACCTGAGCCCAGCCCAGCGGTGGAACTGCAGCAGAGGTGATCTGTGACTTTGACAGAACAGTGGAAAAGGGAGGAGCAGTGCCAACGACTGGGACAGTGTGCTGACAGGGACAGCATGCCTTTTGGGGGCTGGAAGCTGTGAAGGGCTTGGGAGTCCCACACACCTGGGTGCTGGTCAGATCGTGGTCTGCACAATCAGAGGTAGTGAAGCTCTGTGCAGAGCCAGGGAAGGTGCCTGCATGCTGAGAGTTTCTAGGAGCTGGTTGAGAGTTACAGCATCTTTTGTCCATCTGTTTCTCTATTAATGGGAACTAGAGCTAGGGAAAAATATTCCTGAGCTGTAACCAGTGCAACGACTGAGGCCTTGTCTGTAGCCTGGGGAGGGAGAATGCAGCCAGGAGGTAGAAGAGGCAAATCTGAGAAAAATGAATAACGAGTCTTTGTTATGGAGAGCGTTCTGCAGCATTTGCTTCTTAAAAGGTGTTCAAGGAGCATCTGCGGCCTTTGTCAAGGGAACTCAGTCCAGAGAAATTGGAAAACATGGAAGTTAGGAACAGTTAAGATTTCTCAGCCCTTTTGCAAAAGGCAGGAGTATGCTGGGGGGTCGTGTGTGACACCAGAGGGAACTGACAGTGATTCCTGCAGGTATTTGTTGCCCAGCTGCTATTTTTGACTTCAAATCCCAGAGAATCATCAAATATCTAGTCCTGGAGCTTGAGTGCTGTCCCTCTGCTGAGCCCCCTGTCCTCTCCTGGGCTCTGAATTGAGCTCCCAAGAAGCATGCGAGAGTGTTAGTCAGTGGATGTGCAGTGAGAGAAGAGAAAGAAAGGATTATGCTGAAGGATCAGTGCAGTAAATGACTTCCACGCTCAGGGAGCTCACAAGCTCCCTGTAATAAAGGAAGAGGCAAAACCAGATCCCGTGTAGCCTCTGTGATGCACAGCTAAACCTTATCTCAGCCTGTTGGGTTTCCACGGGGCTCAGCTCGCACCCCAGCCCCTCACTTCTCCCTCCCCACAGCAACGCCTGCTGCCTGCCTTCCCCCCTGGCCTCCCTCTGGGTCCTTGTGACAGGCTTAGGGATCCTGGGACCCTGATGCTGGAATGGCATTTTGGCCTAGCTGGAATTGTTTATAATCACAGAGCTTTGATGCTGTCTCCAAGGCCTCTGGAGAGCTGAGAAGGGCTATTTTTCATGTGATGCTTTTGGAGTATGCTATGGGAAAAGGTCAAGGGACGCAGTGGGAATGAGTGGGTCACATACTCAATGGTTTAGGGCACGACGGCAGCATCGGTTCTTTAAGATCTCCAAGCCTGCTTTGTAAAAATAAGCACCTCTTACTGAGCTGCCTGGGAAAGGAGAGGGGCACGCCTCCTGCGAGCGGATGTTCACGGCGCTCCTCTGGGTTTGCTCTCTTGCCTTGGCAATTGCTGCATCTCGGCATCCTTGTGAACCACACAGATCCCTCAAACAGTGCACAGCATTTTAAAAAGCCTCCTTGCTTACCGCTCTGACCTTTGTAATACAAGGAGAAATTCTGTAAGAGCAGAAGCTCCCCTCCTGCACCTGGCACACGGCTGTCTTCCAGCAGGCCGGAGAGCAGCACTGCAGGGCTCCTCAGCCCATCCCAGTGTCCACCACATCATGCTGGGCCTCTGGGCAAAGCGAGCTCTAGGCCCAACAGATATTTGACTTTTTTTTGCATGTGCTGCCTTTGCTCGTTTAAATCTGGGAGGGGGAGCAGTCTAGCAAGGGTTGTCCTTTTTTCCTCCATGATGCATACGTACTGCAGATAAGAGCCAGGAACAGGAAGCGGAGGGGTGAGGTGGCAAGTAATTTACATTGGAAATAGAAGCTGAATGTGCATTTCCCTATTCTGTTGCCATCAATCACTCAGACTTCCCGTATGCTGTGAAATAAAGGAGTGGAGTTTGCTTGCTCCCCACTTCCCCCAGGAATGGAAGCATTCATTTGTTTCACTGTTGAGAAATGCTGATCGCTCAGAGCATTTTGTTTTCTTAGATGTGCTCCACTCGGAAGCTGAACTTTTTGGCTTCCTCCTGTTTGGACTGCAGAAATGTCTTTGTATGCCCTGCAGATGTGGGGAGTCACTGCTGGTGCTGTAGCTCTGAAAGGGAAGGAAAGGTGCTGCTGAAATACAGACGGGCCCCCAGCCAGTTGAACAGATACTTCATTGCAGAGCACTGGCAAATACTCTCTGTTCTCTAGCTGTTTTAACTTGTTTATGTGATCTCGCACCTGACAGGAGTGCAGCTAGGGCCATGTCCTCCTTGCCATTGGAAACCTGTGAGTATTTTATGGGACTAACAAATTTGTTGAGAGAAAATTATAGCAGGGAATTATGTGGAATAGATAGACCAGCATGTGCTCCCTGTTATTTACAATTTAGCTCTGCTGGAAGGCATGGGGACAGTAGCAGAGATGTAGAGTGGAGGACTGGGAAAGGAATAGAAGGAGAAAAAGAGGAAAAACAGAAAGATATAGGACAAACAGGCAAGTGAATGAAAATTACCTGTCTCATAGCAAATAGCATAAATGAAATAAATATGAAAGAATTCGGATAGCTCCACCCTGGAGAGACTCAATAGAAAATGACCAGCTGTGTATTTTTTTTTTTTTACTCTGTCATCATGTGTATGGCATATATCTGTGGCTTTTAGATGGTGTCTGGTCCCTGGTTAAGCAATGTCTTCCTATTACTTACCACTCTCTAATTAGCCAAAATCTTATCCTGCACAGGAGGGGCTGACTTAATTCCTTTGTGGAGGCACTCAGGCAATGGACAGTTCTGGTCTTGGGGGATAACTGAAGTAATGGGGCGTTAAAAAGCTCTTGTGTGACTTCAGCATCCTTTGACAACTCTGGGAAACTTGGTTACAGCATGGTGTTTCCAAGCTTCCATGAGATGGCTGGGAGCGCAGCGATGATACTATTCAGTTCAATGGCTGTAACAAAGAAGCTGAGAGGAGCTGTGGCCTGGAAATTTCTATTGGCTATGGGGGACTGAAGCCCCACTCCCTGGGGTTGTGAGCTCAGCAGCTTTTATGAGCTCAGCCATTGTGGGTCAGGGCAGAACACACAAGGGAGGCCTGTTGGGAAAACCCAAGGGCTGGAAGGAAATGCTGTTGGTGACTCAAAAGGCAGAGCTCTTCCTTTTGTTGATGTTGGAGTTGAGCCACACAGACACGTCCTTCCATAATTATCTACTCGTTGCTTGTAGCTCATGCTTTTTAACCACTGGCGTTATCATGTGTTGCCTGCACACCCCACCACGTGAGGCTGGAACCCACAGCCGGAGCTCAGGTATCACACTGATGTCTGATAAGCACGTATGTGTTTGCTGCTGAGATGAGATGCGTTCAGCCCAACGCGTATGTGAGTCCTGAGAACGTGCAGATGTTGTGACAATGGAGGCAGGCCATGGGCAGCATTCATTGTGCTGCTGTCCTGCTTGCCCACGGGGGATTGCTTGCACATAAACACCCAGGAAGATGTGTCACTAACGGCTTGGCTTGAGACTGCTGAGGGGAGATGTTCGGTGCTCTGCGGGAGTGTGGGCTGGTTAGGAAGTGTGGCTGGGGGAAGGGATGAATGGATGTCAAAACATCCTGACAGAGGGAGAAAAATCAGCGCCGAGTCCCGCGTTAAGCAACAGAGACCCTTAGCGGTCACCTGGAGCAAAACACGGGTGCTGAGCTCAGTGCTGTGTGACTGATTGCTTTTTTTCCACCTGCCGATTTCAGAATCATTTAAGTAGTAACTTTAGAAAAAATAATTGAAAAAAAAAATCAGTTTCAGTTGTTTTAACTACAGTTAACTACAGTTGTTTCACTGTTGTTGTTTTTCCTTTAGTTTCCTAACAGCCTATTCTGAAATGGGAAGGTGCTTTGTTTTCCATCCTTATTGATTGCCATTTGATATTGCTGTATTCCAAGGATAGTCACAATTACTGCCTTCTCTTGAGAAGTTATTACTTCTGCTGTTTATGTCAAGTTCATCTGTTTTTATGCTTCCACCCAACTGTACCACCACCTCTTCTCCCTTCCTTCCAGCCAGCCCAGTGTCTGCTGTACCCAAATTGAGTGAACGTGTTAGCTCACCAGATTCTGCGATGCTCTCTCTCACTCTGCTAGCCAATGCACAGATAATTTGAGAAATATTGTTTGCTCCTATGGGAGTTATTTCCATCTGATTAGCCTGACTCTTTGCTGTGAGTGAGTCCAGTCCACCCCTGCACACATTTGCTCTTCAGCAGCACTGCCTTCCTGCCCCAGGAGCACTGCTGAGATCCATGGGCTTCCAAGAGCTTTTTCTGAGAATACCTTCTCTAGAATTACTCAGGTAACAATCAGCACTAGGCACATCATCCCAGCTCCAGTGCTCTTTGTGGGGTTTGCTTGCTGTCCTCCTAGTGGTAGGGGCTGCTACCTTCAAGGGGGCTTGTTGTAGCTTGATGAGTGGCAAGGCAGGGATCAGAAAAGATGAGCTGTTTGTCTTAAGGGGTAGCTCATTTTGGGTAAGTCACTCCGGGTAAATCTCATGGGGGCATGCAGAACAAAGATAATAGTCTGACTCACCTTTACAAAGAGCTTAGAGAACTCAGCTGAGAAGTGTTTTGAAAGAGCTATGCTCTGTTACAGTGATGCTGCATTTGTCTGCCATCCCCAAACCTCTGCTACGGCTTTTCCAGCAGGATTTCTACTGGTCTGGTGTAGAGCAGAGCAATACGCTGCAGAGCTCTTCCTTATTTTGCTATCTTTTCCAATGATGTTCAGCCACAATGTATATTACAAAACCATTATGGCTACTGCTAGGCTGCTGTGTGTTGTCATCACTCAGCAACAGCCATTTCCTGGATTCCATGGGAACCTGCTTAAATTTCATTGCAGTGACAATTCAAAATTAAAACGATCCTACAAAATAAATCCAGAAAGCTGAGATTTCTTCTCATCCTAAGTTCCCTTCTGCATTGTGTTACTGGCATTTATTACCTATTGGTGCTGTAAGTAGTAAATTTTCACAGTCATGAGCTGTTGCTGCATTAAGAGAAGCTGCAAAGGAGGCAGTGTGCCAAAAGGTGGATGGATGGATTTAGAAGAACCGTGTGATTCTGAACAAACCTCTCTGTAGCTGGAGAAAAGTCTCCAGTAGAGATCAGACCTTGAGGTTAGCATCTTCATCACTCTTAGACCTCTTCATACAGCTTTCAACTCTTGGTCCACTCTCAGAAGAGTCTTTCTGAGTAAATAGTCTCCCGCTGAGCGGTTTGCTCCCTTGCTGCAGGGGCCTCCGCTAGAGATCTGCCTTATGCTGACGCCCAGCATGGGCACTGACAGCTGTGGTTTGCTTACTGCTTCACAGAAAGTCTGTGTCTGTAGCAGATGATGTGTGCAAAGTGCGTGGTGATTGTTTCTTTAAGGCCCCCCTCTACTCTCCTTCCCTCTCCACTGCTGCTCTCTTGGTATTACTGCTGATACAGATTTTTTCTCTTGTTCAATTTCGGTGCACCTGCTCATATAAACAAGACTGCAGTGGGGTTGCTCAAACTGAGCTTATATATGACAACAGAAGCAGCACCCTAAAGCACATTCCTATGCACAGAGGAGTCATTAATACAGAGAATGAAGCCTGGCTTTGGCAGTTTAGATGCATGGCTTAGGTGACCCACAGAAGCTAGTCGTTAAATTAGGATATTCTCTCAGTAAAAGGTCAGATCAACTTATGGGAAGCTGCAGGAATGTTTTAGAGAGCTTGAAGTCAATCAAACAGGAGGCTTTCCTATCATCCTTTCAGTTCTAGATATTCAGCCTATCTATACATCTTCATTACTGCATTACACACTCAGTGTGAACCTAACTACCTAGATATGCTAAAGGCAAAGCATTCAGATTCAATTTTACAAAAGACAAGCTGACTTAAAACATGAATTACTGTATTATGCCGTCCTTGAGCCTTCAAGACAGGCTTGTACTCGAGCAGCTATGTGTTTTTTCATTTCATAGAATCATAGAATCTGTTATTTTGTCTTCATTCCTGCTTCAATCCGAGTTAGATATCTTGGGTTAGAAAGAACATCTTCTTACAATTGTTTTTTTCCTTCACGTTTCTATGTAACCAGAAGACTTAAAGATGGATAGGAAGGCCTTTGTGGCCAACTTTCATGAGGCTGTGCCATGCAGGAACTGGGTAGTAGAAGCTGTTTGGGAGGCTGGCAAATGGATAAAGAAGCCTGAGAACCTTGAGGCAGCAAAGGGTGGTTAAGATAACCCAGAATTTATGCAAGAGAATAGATTTTAGGAAAGTTGTGATGACTAGAGGGTGTGATTTAAACTCACTGTGGGCTGGAGAACCTATGAAAAGGACAAAATGAGCAGCTACCTCTCAACACCTTCACTGCATCTGCCTACTGGTGGAGTAGCTGTGGAAACATTATCATGTGAAGTGTTTGTGAAGCCACGCTCTGTGCCTGGAGAAGGAGATACTTGATCAAAGGAGTGGATAGAAGTGAATCTACAGCTAACTTCTGAAACAGAGATGTGATCCCTGACAGGACCTTCTCCCTCCCAGCTCTGTGTGGTGGACAAAGTGCAAAGCCTGGCACACTGCTGACTCTGTTCTGTGTTCTTGACTGTTCCCCATGGCTTAGGGGTTCAAGCACCTTTCCTCCTCTTCCCCAGCATATGTGGGAAAGCAGGGCTAAGAGTCCTGGACCAGGCCAAGGCAGTGACTCAAGAAGAAGTTGAAGTGCTCCCCAGGCCTTGTGAACTGAACAAAACAACTGGTGAGGTTCAAAGTTTTATTTCAGGGAAGGCAGGGTTACCTCGAGCCTGGGTGGGGCTAATCAATGTACATTCATCATTAATTTATGCATGTAAGGGGCTTCTGGAGTACAGTTGTCATGCTGGTTTTGATAATGCTAACTCTATCCACCCTGCCAGCTGCTGCGATGTCGTGGTAGTCTGTGTTGCTGCATGCAGAATTATGGTGCTTTTGTGGGAATATTATGTTCCCTGAATAGAGCCCCACAGAGCAATTTGCTTCATCCTTACAAACCCATCCAAATAACTGGCAGTGCCTTACAAATACAAAACAATCGAGAAAATAAATGTATTATACTGTACATCTGTGACAAAACAATGCTTTCATGTGCAAAGAGAAATGTGTTTGTTTAACTTATGGTTTCCCATTTGAAAATAAATGCATTCATTTAAATTAAAATGGGACGTTGTTCACTATTACAGGATTTTGCATGCCAGATGTAAGAAATATGCTGCTTGAAGAGCAGACTCAAAATTTGGAGTGGTTGGTGTTACCAAAAGCGTGCATCTGCTGGCTTATCCTGGATGCTGTCTCTTCCTGCAGGGTGTTCTTCACCTGAGTAGGACATTCCTGCCTTTGCATGAGCAGTGTGGTCTCTAGGAGAGGTTTGGGAGTGAGATTCTCCCTTGTGTAGCAGTCTTGTGTCTTAGTGCATGCTGGAAAGCCTGCTTTTCACATGGGTTGTGCTAAAGAGAGAGGGCTAAAACTGACCAACCTGCTTCAGAACTTTGCACTACTGTGACCGTGAGACAGACTGACTTCCTACAAGAACCATGGCACTCCACAGATATTTCATTGGTTCTGGTTTTCGTGTTAGAGGAATGTTAGTCTCATTTATATGCAGCAGTGAAAATGATAGAGAGATGGGGGGGGGAAACACTCAGTGAACAAGTTGGATGTTCCAATATTTGTTTTTTAAGATGTGCCACATTAAATGTGCCTTTTAAATGTTTGAGTTCTTGTAATGAAAGTCTGCTGCATTTCAGTTTACAGATAAGCTTAACATCATCAAGCCAAGTTTGTTCTGGGAGTTAACATTTGCATTTTTGAAAGCAGCAGCCTAATCCAGAGTAAGACCAGATGAAATGACTTTAATACAGCACGGTATGAGCTGCGGGCTGGTGGGTGTGAGCATCCTCAGAAAGGTGCTGAAATTTACTTGGATAGCTTTCCAAGAATCCACAAACTTCTTAGACCAAAACTGAAGATCACTGCTACCAGTGTTAGGAGTTGTCAACTGGAATTTCACCCTGATGTAGTTACTAAAAGGAGAAATAGCCAAGAAATAATAAATACACCTCAGTTTTTTAACCTGAACTTTTGGTATCAGTGCTCAGACCGTCTTCTAGATTCATTGTTTTCCTTAATTGAAGTTTTTTTTCCCAATTATAGATGGGAATGATGGAGTTAGCAGTTCCAGCCCTCTGCCCATGCAGTCTGACCAGCGCAGTAATGCAGTGGTATTTTTCAGGCGCAATCAAATCAGTGCAAGCATGTGATTGTATTGTCTTTAGTTGCCTGGGGGCCACAAGAGATGAAAATCACAGTTCAGCAAGCCCTTCCTTTCACTTTGGAAACATCATAGTTTGCATCTACCCCATCTGAAGTACAAGTATCTTGTATCCAGCCAGCCAGGGAATGCATTACGTTACAGCCAGCAGGAAATGCGCTGCATTTCTGAAAGCCAACACCGGCGCATTGACTGAGAGACCAGCAGGGCTGTGCAGCAAGGGTAGTTGGGCCCAGCTCAGTTTCTCCTCTGGACTGATGAGTCACATACTTGAATTAATTGCTGCAGGTGTGATTAATGTCAACTGCATAGCTAATTGCCCGAAGATTAAAATGTTTCTTTTTTTTTGTTGTTTTTTTAATCTGTAATGATGTTAATTATTTAGTCTGCTCACCTCTCTAATCTTGTTCTGCTTGTAAATGAATGGAAATATTGATCCCAGAATGGTTTTGGGTGCTACCTGTCTTGCGTCAGTCTAATTAACTTTGACCCTGTTTGCTCTTTCTAACCATACTTTCTGCTTTGCTTTTGAAGATATCTTGAAGGTGGGGCTGGAAGGGATCACTAGGGTATAACTGACCTCCAGGATCTGTAGGATTTTGCTGTGTAAGCCCCATTACTGCTCTACTTAAGCCATATTGGCTCTTTGCAGCAGTGTCTTCTTGACCACATCTCTTGGTAGCAGACTCTACCACCCAGTGGTTGTAACTGTTAAAACAATCTTCTGTTTCCTCAGTGTACTGTTCCCTTCCCTAAGCTTCAAGCTCCATCTTACTCTTCAGTGTTGTCAGTCTGTGAATGCACTGTCCCTCACACACGTACAAACTACGTTTTAATTAAACTAGTTGCTGTGACGCATTTCTCCACCATGACAGAGCAATGTTAGAAGGCTGCAGATTTGCTGACGGAGACGTTTGATGCATTTACCACCATGGGACAGAGACCTGAATGTGAAAACCCATGTGAAAAGCAGGCTTTCCAGCATGCACTAAGACACAAGACTGCTACACAAGGGAGAATCTCACTCCCAAACCTCAGCTTGGTTTAGCTAAGAGTTTTACCCAATCCTCCACCTCCAAACAGCAAAGCTTCATGGGTTGCTAGCAGAATGTGGGCCTCCTTGCCACACTGACAAAAGAGTGCCAATGTTATGAACAGTATAAAAGATGTACCACTTCCTGAATGGACAGAAGCCCAGGAAGCTCCTCTGTTCTTACGTTAGTACAGATAAAAATAAAGGAAGTTTGAAGAGACCAACATCTCTTTGAACATCTCGTGTCATTTCCCTTCAATCAGCTCTCTGTGCTGTCATGTCCTTGCAATTAGGTCTCCAGAAAAGGTGACCCCACATAACCTGGAAAGGCTGCTTTAGAAATGTCTGCATTGCCAGGCTCTGGTCTTTCTCCAGTTCTAAGACTCCCTCCCATGCATGCTTTGATGGAGCCATCTCCTCCTTGCTGAAAGACATTAACTTCCCTTCCTTAGCTTAGCTAGAAGACTGCTGCTGTTTTCTTTGCTTCACTACAGCGTAATGCAGAGGAGACAGCCACTGAGCTGCCTCTGTCAGGAAGCCTTCTTGTAGCACACTGGTCTGGGCCTTACGCTCTGCCTCCTTTTTCAGTCCAGAGTGGATGCAAGTCCGATGTGTCCCTCAGCTCTGGAGCTCTATTATTTGTATTAGACTGCAGACTCATGTTTGCCTTGGAGAGCTCTCGTGCAGCTCATGGAGACTTGAAATGGCAGCTGTTGCACTTCCTTTGATTCCTTTTTCCTATGCTGAAACTCCAGTTACTCTTTGTTAAAGGAAAACACGACAATGTGGTCAGCAAATAGCATCTGTGCATCATGGGTTTTGTCTCAACTCCTCTCTAATGCAAGCTGACTGTCAGAAACAGCCTTTCAGAAATGCAGTACCTCAAATCCTAAACCATCTGTCATGGTCAAATTAATGTAACCTTCTCCCTGCTGCCGGTGAGAGCTGGGAAGTATAACAGCAGTGAGTGCTTGGTCCAGTAGGATCAGCCTGGACACATGGCTTTCTCACATGCTTGGGCCTGTTCCACTGGGTGCTTTATAGCTGGTTCAATTCATGCCTCAGGATGGAAATGGTCCAAGTTAGTGCTCAGATATCCAAATTCTCCTGTTGTTTTTCAGCAGGAGGCTCGGTGATGGCAGCCTTGGGGCTATATGGACTTAGCACAAGCATGGCTGGTTGTCATGTACTCTACAAAGATCCAGTGCAAGACACATTTCTGCTGCTGGGTTTGGTGACTGGTTGTGCTCAGTAAGTAATGTCCTCAGTGCCAGACGGGTGCAAGCAAAGCCTGTGCTGCTGATGGACGTGGCTGGTATTGGGATGGGTGTGCAAGACTTGATGCTGGGAGGGCAAGTGGTTGTGCTTCATGCTCTGACGACTTAGTTCTGAAGCAGTCATTGACAGATGCATCATGGCAACCTGGCTGCAGCTCAGCTGCTCGAAAGCTGATAGGTTTCCTTGTAGCTTTGAATGTAGTTATATTTTCTGGCAGCTGGAGAAAATGGCTTTGAAAAATAATAGCAGCTTTTAAGTCAAATTGGTGTCAACATTCACTCCAGGCTACTTGAAGCTAATCAGTTTAAGTTCCTACTTGGCAAATGGAATTCCTGTCTTACTGCCCTCCCTCTCCTTAGCCCAATTCTTGTAACTGGTGATTGTTTCTCACTATCTCTTTCTAGTGTGTGTAGTCAGAGAGACATTTGGTTGCCAAGATGTAGGTTCTGGTATATTATTGAAGGTGCCTGCACAGTCTGTGTGAGCTTGGGCTTCTGTTTTTTTCTTTTTCTTACAGCTTTTCTCTAGTTAGGAGCAGAAGAGATAAAAATCAAAAGCTGGTGAAGCTTTAGCACCTGCCTCAAGCACAGTTCAGCTGATGATAACCACCAGTCACTGCTCTCAGCAAGAGACCTGATTCCACCCATCATGCTTGGACTGAGACAGGTGGGTAGTAAGGATCCGTGGGGGAGCCATTACAGGCTTTTCCAAGTGAACTGAAAAGGGAAAGAAGCAAAGCAGCTGCTGAATAGGGAGAATCAGGAGAGTAAATGGTAGATGGGCTGATGAAATAATGCTGTCTATAACCATGAATAAGTAACAGCATCACAGGAGGCATTCAGGGCAACAATTTGGGAGTGTTAAAATGGAGGTTAAGGATTACATTGAGGATTAGAAAAATCAGGATCCCTAAGGCATGCTCGGTGAATGCAAACGGCATAGGCAAAATCAGGTGTGTCAGGAGTAACGCCCAGTAATTAGATAGTATGATATAGACACGTATGTGACTTGTTTCTCCTAACAACACCAGTGTGTATGATATCTATTACACCAGCACCTTACAAAAGTACATGAGATGTTACAATATATGCAGGCTAACTTCTTGGATTTATGGAAGTATTAGAATTTGCTGTGCTATGAGAAGGTTTCTTCTGGCATCTCTTTACAACTCCTCCTTTATTTCAGCTCCTGTATGAGTGCAGCTTGCACATGAGGCTTTCTGGTCACATGGAGTGATTAGCTGTGAATGCTGAGACTTTAGGTTTGACTGAAGCTCCCTTTCCTTGAATGTTCATGGAGAGTGCCGACTGTATTAGTAGACAGTACAGCTGCTGGTGAATGAACAAAGTGGAAAAGGAAGAATGAGCAAGTTTTTCTTTGTCATCCTTTTCAGAAAGCGGAAGAATGCATTAAAAACCTCCAGAGGGAGTTTCTCTTCTCAGCTGTTCCTAGGCATAGTGAACTGCCATGGTGAATGATGCCCCAGGGAATCTCTTGACACGTGAACCATTTTTACTTGATTCTGTCATGATCCCACGTAGAACATTTGCTTCCTGTTTGGTTTTAAAAGATTGGGCTTGCTTAATGCTAGTTTTATATGAGGATGTCAAACACTGCAGAAGAACTGGTGCAGTGCACCAGAGCAAACTGAGCTTGGCTCTGCAGCTTGAAGCTCAAGTGATGAACCTCCCAGTTGGGTTTGAGACTGCTGAGCCGTGACTGCTGAGCCACGTGTGTGATGTGGAGGCCAAGTAACACAGTCGTTCCTTCTCTCTTCTGGAGCCTTATCGCGTCTGCTGTGTAAAGGCTGACTGAGTTGTTTTGTAAATCTCAGCAATAAAACGTGTCCACAATCTTCTCAATAAAGGGAGAAAGAGATGAGGGCATAAAATGATTATGCTGGTAAAAGAAAGGAAGACTAGTGGAGTCTGAAAGAGATGTGGGCAGATGAGCAATGGGCCTTCTGAAGCAGAACAAAATGCATTATTATTTTTAATGGAAATGCAAAAAAGGCTTTGTAGAAGCTCTGGGCAGAGCATGAGTAGAGAAAATGTTAATTCTGTTTTGTAAAGTTGGTGGCAATGAAGTTGGCTTTGTTCCACTGCTCAGGCAAATGGATACGGCAGCTGGAAAGGACTGGCTGACGAGGGATGGTAGGAACCTCACATGGGGACTGTGCTTCACACCTGCCAGTCTGTGTTCCCATTTGTGCCACAGAAGCCTGCTGTGCCATTCTGAAGCTCCAAGTTCCTTGTGGAGGGAAGGTATCTCAGCAGTTTTAGTGAAATGCTAATGCTAGGCTTCTTGCTGGCCCTCTGGCTTGAGTTTCAAACCTGACCAAACAACACGTTTTCTCTGGCTCATTCGGCCCCTAAGCCACCTTTCTGGCCTCCATCTAGCATTCTTACAGCATGCTTGAGGCTTTCTGCCTTTAGGAAACTTCTTGAATGCGAGGTTTGCAACAAACTGGTAGGATCTGTGGAAACCATAAACTGAAACATGAGTAACGTTTTGCTCTGAGAGCCTTAGGGGAGAAGTTGCTGCGTCCTGGTTTCACCACCAGACCCAAGTGCAAATGGAGGAGTTCACCTACATTGCTTGACTGTTCCAAATCACAGGAAGAAGACACGGCTCCACTTGCCTTTGTGTTTGTTGATGAGATTCTGATGCCGCCATGAGGGAGAAAATGCCCTGAAATTTTCAAAGACAGTCCTTGCTCTTCCTTCCTTCTGGGCTGAGTGGTTAAAGCTCAGTTGGCAAAAGTGGCAGTAAGCTAGCTAGGCTAGGTGACAGTGGTGTCAATCAGGACATTCCAGTAGTGCTTGGCACTGCTTATATAATGGTCCCTGCTTTCTATTTCAGAGGCTGTTAGAGAATGTGACACAGATAAAATAAATTAGAAACAAAGTCAGTGTCCATGGGGAGAGCATTCCCAAGAAAAGCATTTGCTGAGAAAGAGCGTTTACTCTGCTTCAGGCAAAGTCAGAAGTAATTAAACATCTTAGTGAAGCAGTACAAGTGGGCACACTTTGTAAAAGAGGTTAATCTATCAGGCAGGAAGAATCTCAAACCTGAGAATAAACAGCTCCAAGAAAGCAAGTGGTGAAGGTCTGAGGCACAGAAGGTAGCTTTGTTGTCTTAGTGGCTTGAGGCAGGGGAGGAGTGGAGCTGGTGGAGTGGGTTCTTCCTGCCTAACCAAAGTACTTCTATAAAGGTGTCAAGGATTTTCTGCTGAAATAGAGATAACTCAGTCTGTAACTTGTCTGCCAAGTCGGCCCCTATGTAGGAGTGGGCTGTCTGGGCCTTTGGGAGGCATGTTGTGGGAGGCTGAAGCACCCAGTAGGAAGTCCTTTTGAGTGAGAGCTCCTTCACCTTGATCAGTCATGATGGTATGTGAAGGAGTGAAAGCTATTCCTTGACAGTACGGACAGAAAGATACCATTGCTTGGAAATTGCTTGAGTGTGAATGGAGAGAACTCTTTTTAGAGTGCCCCTTTGAGGGGGGAGAAATGATGAACTGGGCTGGAGGTGCAGATGGTCATGTAGACGAGGGGCCTGGGCTACCTGGAACGCTTTAATTGCCAGGTGGTGAACTGGAGTTTGTTGTGATACATTGCAGCAATGACCTGTGACTAGTATGGGATGATTTCAACCCCTCCTGGGTTTGCAGAGAAGAAAGCTTGAGTATGCTGTCTTCAAGGCAGTGATTTATTTAGATGATCAACAGTGAGCGAGAAAAGCAGCCATGGCTCACAAAGCTGGATAGTGTCCAAAAAGTACCAGACATCTGGGAAGATGGTGGTACAGTCAGGATGTAGCTGTCCCAGCCTGGATCTGTGCCCTAGTTTGAACAGCAGTCTGGCTGATCAGTGCCATGGAGAGGAATGGGGGGAAGAAGACCTTCTCTATGGCCAGGGACAGGAGCAGAAATCCAGAGCTTGGCTGTGGGTTTTGAGCCTAGAAGTGTCCAGAGCTTTAACAGAAGGTGCAGAGAGCTGAAGGTAGAGACCTAGAAGATTAGAAGGAACATAGTTGGACTGAGCCTGTCATTCTGTGCATAGGATCTGGGGTAAAATGAAGTGCCTAGGTATGATCCATTTCAAGAGCTAATGGGCAACTGTGAGAATGCAAGTGAATGCAAATAAGGATTTGAAATAAAAATCTAACCTCAATTTGCTCTTGTGCTGCAGTTTCTCTCTGATCGGATACTAGTTTACAGAGAAGGATGCGTGCCTTTCTCCTGGCTTTGTGAGGGCCTCAGTTTTGGCAGAGGGGAGTTGGAAAGTGGGATTTTGAAGCGTGAATGTCATGTAACAGCAAAAGAGAGACTCCTCAGGGACAGGCAGAGCACTATCCCAAGGCAGCATCTGAGGTTGGTAGTTGACTAAGTGGGTAATGTGGAGAGACTTAGGTTATAATAATGGTCTGTGATAATGTTCAATAGAAAGCAGTGGTGAGGTGTTTGTTTCCTGGGAATTTAACTCCCCTGGATGCATGACCTTGCAGAGTGCAAGCTTTCCTAGCATGAAGTTATACTCTACACAGAGATGCTGGGGATTCTGGGTTGTTGCATAACTTTCCTGGGCACAGCTGCCTGCTGTGGCACAGGTGTAATGTAGGACTGTTTTCACCTGATGGGAAATAGGTAACAAATGGTGCATCCCAAGGTGCATCTCATTCTTTGTGCCAAGTCCTTTTTTCCCCAAGATGTACCTGTGCCAGGATGGGTTGGATAGTCTCTCAGGCTGTGTGCTCTGGTTCTGGCTCAGATAAATGTTCCCCATTTATGCCTGTGTGCAGTATAGATACTGGGCATTCAGTATGACCTCCGTCTGGCGTTTCAGGTGGCAGTGTGAACAGTGCCAGGGGCTTCGTGAGCGATGTTCCATGTGTCCTGGTATGAAAAGGGAGTGTTTACTTTTCACAAAAGGCTCTGGCTGCATCCTGAGGTGACAAGGGGCACGTTTGCTTCCTCTACAGCCCACCAACATTAAGCATTCACTCTGCAATAGCCAGTGTCAAAGGCCTGATTTCTATGCAGGGTCTGCAGCGAGAACATAAAGAAAAGGAGGTTTTAGGATTTACTTTTGCAACGGCAGTTCATTCTGATCCCTTGTATGTGCTGGCAGAGTGCAGGAATGGAGGGGATGCCACTGCTTCGTTCAGTGCTGCAGACGACTAATGGACCTTGACAACTGCAGCACAACATGCAAACTATTAAAAAGGGAGGACTGATTAAAGCCCCAGCCATCCCGGCATTCCCCTGGGCTCTTAACCCCGTGTTGGAGCTGAGCAGCCTAGCAATGCCTCCTCCCTGGCTACACAATTAACATCTCTTGTCACTAATTGATTCCTGTGGTGCTCACAGGACAATTAGAATTTAAATTGCCTTTTACAAAGGTCATGAAAACATGATAAAAGACGAATCTATTAGGAAGGATCATTGAGGAGTCTCTCTCCTTTTCCACAATACTGGCTGCTGGTTATTGCACAGACACGAGTGAGGGGAGCTAGAAAAGTGGATCAGGTCTTGGGTTCGTTCCTTGCTGAGTGTAGTTCATGGTAGAGGATCAGTTCTCTGTGACTTGTGAGTGTTCTTGCACTGAAGATGTCACTTAATTTTTTTTCTGCCACTTCTTTTAGGAGTGTCTGTGTCTATAAATGCT